GCATGTTGTTTACATGAACGAACAAAAATTAGTTTTCTCAAAATATTACTTGAACTACTTTCGTGAATTAATTTCTTAGATTATCAATGTCCATTTGGATCGAGGCATGTCACTTGAACCTTGTCAGTGTGTATGTCTAAAACATGCGTGCAAAGCTAACAATCACAAAACTAGTCTCCAAGTCACTTCCCGGTGGCGAGTGAGCTGGCTTTCAATCTTCAAGTTTTCCACACGAGGATCCAACGCCAGGCAATGCTATGGTACTAAATGATATGGACAAGAGGAAGTGCTTAAGAATATCAATGAAAATACGAATTTGGAGTTTATGGAGGAGGAACCATGACTTCTTAATCTTGGGTTTATGGAGGAACTTGACCTCTGAATAATTCACGTTAACAATTCTCTTACATTTTATTCAATAAACCTGCACCTTTATGTAGGTGTCATGTACGACCGAACATGAAAAATATAAGGAACTTAAGTGACCGTATAGATGAACATAATCCCACCAAATAGCCGCTAATATTAATGCGTAAGAGAAGAAAATAATTGTGCAGAAATCACATATCAAAAAGTAGTTTATATGCGCAGCTTCTGCAGGTTTTATTATAAGAACCATGATGGTAGACCTTTGGTGGCGGGTACACATGTCGATTTCGGATCGGATCATTTTATTCGTTTATGTTAACGGGTGTTACACGACACGATCGGTTAATATATCGAGTATGACACAAACACGAAAAACACGACACGAATGTCAGATCATAAAAATGATATCGTATTGTTACCGGAAAAAAAAAATTATATCGTATTAGGCTTTTTATTCCGGCTTGTGCTGCACATGCTACCCAAATATACCTCTCTTGTATTGGTTGCCCTAAAAGCTTTTATATTTACTTTGCTCCTTTAAGTGAAAAAAATAAGGGTTCTAATAGTAACACTCTAAAAATTTTATTGTGCACTTCCCATAAGTGTATTTTTTGTTTTGAATATAAAAAATTTGGAGTGCAAAACAAGATTTTTAGAATGAAAATAATAGTTCTAAGAAATAATCGATAATTAATATTGTGAGTCATTATTAGGTTTAGTCTATTTATTGTGTTGTGTTCCTTCATTGATTATTCACATCAACATTTTGCTATTATTAATTTAATGGCGATAAATGTTTCTTTTACTCAATTTTAAAATTAAATATAAGAACTAAATATTGTTTCTCCTTTTCCCCTCCTAATTCGTATCTCAGTTTTATCTTTTACCTCTATCACAAGTTGAATGTGTTAACTAATCTTTGTTGTAGGTACTGTATATGATGTCTATAGTACGGATTTATAAATGTGTGAAAGACTTTGAACTATTTTCATGGATGATACATAGATTAATTTTTATTTATTTTCGTAGACCTCTATTGCATGTTAATGTATTACATCAATATATGATATAAGTATCGTATATGATGACATATAAATTTTCTTTTACCTATATTCCATGAGAGTGGTTAAATTTTCTTTTGAAAATGGGTACACAAAACTACCTCAACTATAAGTCTAACCGCAATCTCATACCTCATATTTTAAACATTGCAATGTCATACCTCAACTTATGAATTCGTTACAATATCAAACATTCGTTAAGTTTTCTATCAATGTAGCTATTAAGTGCTGACGTGATAGGCAGCAGGCCTACTCACTCATCCAATTGGATTGATAAATTAATAAAATATTAAAAAATTAAGATTTTTTTTGTAACAACAAAATTAAAATAATGAAGAGGGTCCCACCACTAAGCTTAGCAATTCCTTCCCCATCACCACGTGCATTATCCTTCTCCCACACCAGACGCTGCCTTCAACTTCATAAACTCCAGCAAAGTCCTCTTCTTCTCCAGCCACCGGAATTTTCCCCAATGACGATTGATTATTTATGATATTTTTTCTCCTTCTAGGCTCTTCAAATTATGAAGTTTGAAGGCTATGGAGGAGAGAGAGGGGGTGGGCAAGTTGACCAGGCATGGAGGAGAGAGAGGTGTTGGTAGGGTTGGGTGTGAGTTGGTTTGGGTCGGTTTTAAGCCAAAATTGAAACCAAACCAACCTAATCGGTTGGGCCAAAATTGCAAACGAAATCAACCAAGCTGGATCTAAAGCCGATCAAGTCGATTAACTGATAGTGGCGAGTTGGTTTGGATCGGTTCTCGGTTTGTGCAAAGACGAAAATACATAACAAATTTCTCTCCAAAAGCTACAGAACATAGCACCAATATGAGTGATTGCTCAAAGGAAATCACAAATGAGGCAGCCCAAGGAGAGCACCAAAGCAGCAGTTGCTGCCTTCTTCAAATGGTCCCCCTATTCTTCTCCAAAGAGACTTGTTTTCATGTGGTGGAAACATGGTAACTTGTAAATAACCAACCATTTAAAATATTACACGTATTAATTATAATTAAAAAATAAAATTAGATATATGCGGATTGGTTTGGTTAATCGAACACTAAAAATTTTGAGAATTGATTAAGGTTAGTGCGGTTCGATTTAACTACCGAAAATTAAAAAAACAAAAAAACAAAACAACAAAACCAAATCAAACCAAGCCGCGGGTGCTGTTCGGGTGGCCTAGTCGGGTTTTTAATTTATTTTTAAAATGCCCAACCCTTGGTGCTGGGGTCGGGTCTGCAATGGCAATAGGCGTGGTGACTAAAAGCAGTTCCACCCCCAAAGACTTTGCGCCAGCACCTAACGCATTTATCCACTTAAGTGAACAGTAATATACTATAGTGAACAGTAATAGGCCAAAGCATCTCCACCCCTAAAAAAAATAACCTAGTCCATTTTATTAAAATATTATTATTTTTTGTTATAAAATAATAATTTAATTTTAAATTTCTGACTTCTTCTTCCCTTCTTCTTTCTGGACTCCTTTTTTTTTTTTTTCTTCTTCTTCTTCTTCTTCCCATTTTTCCCACTTTCTTCCTTAATTTTCCAACTGTGCGGTCAAGCACAGTTTTTCGGCGGATGAGGGCTTAAAGTTGGTGACGACGTTGCGGCCACGGAAGCGCTGTGCAGCAACGTCGTAGGCCCTGGCGGCCTTGTCCTCTTCGTTAAAGGTACCTAACCAGACGCGCTGGTGCTTCTCGTAAATCTGGGCACCCCAACATCCATTGGGCTGCGGGACCACGCCTTTGTACTTGGAGGAAATGAGCTTCCGGGACTCGGCCTTGACGCCGCCAGTGCCGCTACTGCTGCTAAGCTTGGGGTCGAGAATCACGCTGCTGGCGCCGCTGCCCTTCTTCTTCTTCTTTCTGGACTCCCTGCTTTTTCTTATTCTCTCTGGACTCCCTGCTTCTTCGTCGTCTCCTCGCTGAAGCTCGCCAATGAGGTGCTCCACACCCAGGGAGTCGAATTCAGGTCGAGGAAGGCGTGACTGTATCGCCTGGCGTCATGTAGGCCGGGCAAGGGCTCATCACATTCTGAGCCGGCCTAGAGATCAGCTTGGGCTGGGTGCCAGCCTATCTGCTCGGCTGGAGTGGATTGGCTGGGTGCCTGGCCAATAATTTCGCTGGGTGCTGGCCTAAAGGTTCCCCAGTGGAACTGCTCTAAAGATATTGAAGGTTTCAAGCTTCTTGATTTGCGTGGGTTGTGCAAGAATTTGGTCTCGATCTGCAGGTGAATATCTGCAACTATCGTTGATGCCGAGAGGTGGGGTGCCGTAGGTCTGGGGCACTGGTTGTAGGAGTTGGTTGTGAAGAGGACCGACGTTCACCAAAACTTGGGCCTAGCTGAAGCATGGGGCTTCGTGATGGTTGCTGTTGAGAAATGACGACGAGATTGATGAAGACGACATTTCTGGAGGGGATGAGCGAAGAGAGAGACATCGTTGGTGGCTGGGCTTCGTGATTAAGTTGCAGGGGTTGATTTGAAGCTCTGGCAGCGAGAAGGATTGGATAGCTGAGATTTTGAATCCTTGGTTGTAGAGTTTTTTTTATTTTTTTATTTTTTTTATTTTTTTAGGTTATGAGGTTGCAGGTGAGCATGGCATCAAGGAGAATGCACCGGGGGGGGGGGTGTTATGGGGAAGGAATTGCATCCTCTCCTGAGCTTAGGAGCCTCCTGACCAATACACAAGGGGCGTTGGATTTTGATCCAACGACTACAAACAAAGAATATCTAAAAGTTATAATAATTGTAGCTATTGGATTAAAATTCAATGGTTCTTGTGCGTTGGTCAGGAGGCTCTTGAGCCCAAGCTAATCCAATGGGGACGGAATTGCTAAGCGTAGTGGTGGGACCCTCTTCATTATTTTGATATTTTGCTACAAAAAAAGGTTCTTAATTTTTTCAATAAATCATGAATTTAATATTTTATTAATTTATCAATCCAGTTGGAAGAGTGAGTAGGCCCGTTGCCTACCACGTCAGCATTTAACAGTCAAATTAATAGAAAATTTAATGGAAGTTTGACATTGTAACAAATTCATAAGTTGAGGTATGACATTGCAATATTTGAAACATAAGGTATGAATTGTGGTTTGACCAAAATAATTTTATGCAAGTTACCCTGTTTAAATATTCTAATTAAATTTTTTCACAAAGCCACAAAGGTGTATATATAAATTTTTTTAATTAAAATTGAAAAATAGGAAAACTGGACTAAATTCAACAACAGTTCAATTTTTGAACCTAGATCAATAAAATGAAATGAAATACGGCAGTGCGTTTTGGGTATGGATTGAATCTTGAATTGTGCATTCTTGAATGGAGGGATCCAGTTCCAGATTCGATTAAAATACAAATTATTTTCACCAAATCGCGCCTTAAAAGCCCCAAACCCGCCAAACCCAAAAATCCCAATTTAAAAATAATTCTGAACAAATTCTACCGCTCAAACAAAACCCGATCTCCACCGTCTATTCTATCCCCGAACATCCAATCGCTCCACGTCACTGATCCGCGCAGCACCAACACAACCAATCAAATCTCATCACCTTCCCCTATATATACAGAATCCCAAATCCAACCCATCTCATTCACTCACAACCTTCGTCTCAGATAGCTCTGTATTTTCCTCCTTTTCTACAAACCCTAGTTTTTTTTTCCGAAAATCTGACACCAATGGCTCCCAAGGCAGAGAAGAAGCCGGCCGAGAAGAAGCCCGCGGAGGAGAAGAAGGCTGAGAAGGCCCCCGCTGAGAAAAAGCCCCGTGCCGAGAAGAATCTCCCCAAGGATGGCGCCGGCGAGAAGAAGAAGAAGAGATCGAAGAAGAGCGTGGAGACCTACAAGATCTACATCTTCAAGGTCCTGAAGCAGGTCCACCCAGACATCGGAATCTCCAGCAAGGCCATGGGGATCATGAACAGCTTTATCAATGACATCTTCGAGAAGCTCGCTCAGGAGTCGTCGCGGCTCGCGAGGTACAACAAGAAGCCGACGATCACTTCACGGGAGATTCAGACGGCGGTGAGGTTGGTGCTCCCTGGTGAGCTCGCCAAGCACGCTGTCTCTGAGGGTACTAAGTCGGTGACCAAGTTTACTAGCTCTTAAGGATTTGGAGGTTGGGAAGTGGGTATTTGGGGATGGCGATGGAATTAGGGTTTTTAGGTGTAAAGTTTGAATTTGGGGCTGGGATGTCGAAGGGGTCGGATGTTTAGGGTTTTATGGTATTTTGAAATTTGCTTTTGTTGGAATCGAATTGGAACATCTGCTTGATGATTTCTGGATACAATGGAAGGTTTTATGTTTTGCTAACTTCTGGAAATGTTATTTTTATTTCGCTTAATTTCTTGCATTTGTTTTGCATTTAATTTTGATTATTGTATAAATGATTAGGAATATTAACACAAAATTATGAGTTGCAGAAATTGAATTGGTTTTGGATACTTAAACACTAATGAGCAGTGAGATGGACGGTGGAGATGGTAGTATCGATGCATTTGACACTAGTTTTCCAGTGAGATGTACGGTGGAGATTGTACATGAAGTGATGCAAGTTTCCATTGAAGTAAAATTGTACAGATGGAAACAGGACTTGAACTGTTACCCTGGATTTTGACCGTACATGAGATATGGTGATTGAGTGGAGGAGTGGTGGAAAACAACTTACATGGTATGAGTGTTTTGTCATTTTAGAGTTTTTCTTAGAGCGGGGGAGGGTAGAGAGGAGCGTGAAACACGAACAAAATTAACTAAAAATGTGATAAAATAGACGGCTGTGACTATAGTGGCGCATATAGCTACGATTTACTCTACTTAGTAATTAAAAAACTATTGCTACAATTGCGTACACAATGTACAGTTCAAATCTGTGTGCATCGTGTATTTATTTTTACACAAACACCTATATTTGTTATCCCTATCCTACATTTAATTTTCGACTAAACAGAAATGCACGAAACTAGTATCTAAGGCCTTGCTGTCTTCTCTCCCCGAGTCTAGCTGTCTCCCTCTCGGTGTGACGATGGTTTACAAGACGAGAGAGTATGGATGTGCAATTGCAGATGTGTTGATATGGTTGACAACGACAATGGTTTTTGTAGCAAGTAGCTTAGGGTTTTATTGTGAAAAAGGTGAGTCAGTGATTGGGAATCGAGAGGCTGTACAAGTATCTTGGTGTATTCTTTTATTCTAGTAGGAAACATAGGATAATAATTGGATTAGATGGCTTTGGGTTTTTGGTTTGGGACCATTGCGCCAATCTATAATGGCCTGGACAATTCTATTCAAAGGTGAAACAAGGAATACAAGGCCAACCTTGCATTTTATTAATGAAAAAGGCCCAAAAAAAAAATTATAGGCTTAGAAAATGATACAAAGTGTATTATTTTACATATTTTCTTACACATATTTTTCTTTTAAAAAAACTAACATATTATTCAATGTTTATTCACATATTATGTAGTAAGTTGAATTAATTTATATGATGTATAATAAAATTACTTAAATCCGTCTAAACCACCTGATTAGCATCTAGCGTTTTTTAGAATATTGGCTCGATCATAATCCATAACTCTAATCAATGTCAGCGTGTACATAATCTACAAACACGAAATTCTTTTCGAGTTCATGCAAAGCGTAAGCCAAGCCAGCACTCAGAAGCGCAAAACCTGCCAAAATGATCCGTAGCTGCAGATCCGAAGGAATCCCGGTTGATGCACAGAAAACAACGGTTGCCCCAACTAGCAGCTTCTGCCATGTCTGGAATGCTGTATAAGCTTTCTTACACGAGGAGCATTTGAGGGTGTGCTGCTCGAATCTATCCAGCATCTGCATAACAAATTGAAAATAGAAACCCGGAATCCATAATCTAGTTTTCATTTCGAGAAATGAATGAACTGCTTATGTGTTTATTTTCTCTGAGTGGGAGAAAGACTCCTCACCTGACGTTTTGATAAAACCATTGACGGTAAGGGTTGTTGGTCACGAGTACCAAACCACTCGGGTTGGCTGTTGCCATGCCGCCTCAGCCAGTTTCGAAATGCCAAGACAAGACGATCTGCTTGTGTCGGAGTAAATGTGATTTTTGTGTACTGCTGATTAACATCACCAGATTCATCCTTGGATTTGGCATGAAAGACCTTCTCTTGGCCCTGAAGGACAATCATGTCTCCGTCATACACCTTATTTGAAGTCCAATGCTCTTGCCATCTAGGAACCACCTGAAACAATTACATGTTGAAAAATAATGGAAAACCAAGGTTGTAAGGATATAAACTTTGAAGAAGGAAAAAAATAAAAGACAAATATGAACTTTAAGCCTCTTATGAACGTTGTGTTTCAGATTGGTTCAGTGTTATTAAGCTAAAAAATCAGTAGAAGCAAAGCATGAAAGCAAGCAAGATCAATATATTTCACACAAATCAAAGTTAGAGTCTTTGGAAGCTCATTCAAAAGTGATATTGTTTCTTATAGCTTATATGGCATCAGATGCTGGGATTGGTGTTCACCAATAGGAAAAGTTAAACCCTTCTTCTATGGTTTTATAACTTCAAACCCTTCTTCTATGGTTTTGTAACTTCAAACCCTTCTTCTATGGTTTTATAACTAATCACACAACTTATTTCATGGAAAGAGTGTTCGTCAATCAGAAAAGCTAAACACCAAGTGCCCGAAGGAGAAACTTCACATATCCTCTCAGAATTTGGAAATATTGTCCGAACCCAACTTATAATGAGAAAAAGAAATTTACTTAAACATGAGAGATTCCAATTTCCACCAATAAGGATCAACTTGCTGGACAAGATGTGCTGGTTCACCTAAGATGTTGTTATGAAGTACAAAGTACGAAATAAGATAACCACAAATTTCTTACCTGCCACCAAGCAGGCCCTGGCATGCTAAACTGGAAGAAATTTCGAGCACTACATACAATAGAGCGAGTCTTCCCTGGTGCCATTGGAACGTTGAAGGAGCAAATCCATATAACCCATTTTTGATCTCCAACTACTGGAAGCTTTGTGTCAATCTCTATTCTGGGTACAAGAAAAGGAAACCAAGTATGTTTAGTTTTAGGAGCACGTAATTAATTACAATAAGACCAGATAAAATATATTATGGATGGAGTTTTCAATGTTATGTATGTTGTACAAATAAAGGACTAGAGAATGCCTCTAGGACATGCCATATTGCTCTCAAACGATATGACGATCCTTTGTAAATTTTGTAGAACTGACAAATATTTCTTCAATGAGGAAGATTGACGTTTAAACGTCACATTTTCTTGGAAGTTTCTCTGTTTGATTTTGGTTTGGAAGTATTCTTACAAAACCAAACTAAGAAACAGCTCAAGATTCCTAGCCAACAAACATTAGACTTTACTAATGTTGTAGCCCTACATCAATTACATATGAAGAAATCAAGGAGTTGAGGACATGTAAGTCCAGAACAAACATAATTCATATCTACAATGTTGTATCGTTTACTACTTATACAAGAATGATGAACTTACTTATTCAAATAATAGCAAGGCGCTATAAACTCAGCAGTAATTCGTGGGTTGCCATCATTTGCTCCAGAAAAACCCCAAGGACCACTATCCTCCAGTTTAAATGGCAAAGGTTTGGCTCTATCTCTCCTTCCAGTGACCTATTAAGTGATTTCACCATTAAGCAAAATGGAAATTTCTATCTATCAGAAAGTGTACTTAAATTTCCAAGTTTCAAAGGAAAAATCAAAATGCGTGCAAAATCAAACTAATGACTCAGAGCCTCAGAATGATATGCAGAAAAGTTCATAAAACATAGAACAGGCACAAATGCGTATAAGAAACTTTGGAACATTTATCCTCTTAGAATATGCTCATTTTACTAGAATTCACCATTACGATTCTAACTGCACGCCTTTAACTGCTCAAAGAACGTACCAAGAGATTTGCTTGAATACCAAAAAATGAAAGAGACTCCAGGTTTAGATCCAGTCATATACCTTGTGATGAGCGAAGTCAATGTGGGAAGGATCAGAGACATTTTCCATAAGGGTATCATAGCCATAGAACAGATCACGCTGGATTGTCACTGACGAAAACTCAGGTTTGCTAAATTCATCTGGCAGCCTAAACATTAAAAAATTACCATCATCAAAAGATCATTAAATTATTCAGAACATAACAATTAACAACTACCCATATTAAACAGCCAAAAAAACACTTCAAGCACAGTATTCAACAATCCTAATCAGTATATTTATAAATTAAAGACAACAATCCTAATCACTATATTTATAAATTAATAACAACAATCCTAATCACTATATTTATAAATTAAAGATTCGCAAAAGCGATATAAAATGAATCAATTACATGGGAGGCTTGGTGGCATTAGCTCTTTCCCAACCATTCTCATCCGGCCAAACAAAGAGCAGGCCTTGAGACACCAGCGTAGGAAACCTCGTAGCGCATGCTCTTGGAGACCGAACAGCACGAGCTTCAGGACCTTCAGATGAAGCCTGAGGAATCTTAACACATGATCCACAACCGTCAAATGACCATCCATGGTATGAACATTGCAAGTTTCCACCTTCATCAATCCGTCCTTCCTGCAAAATCAAAATAACTCAATTGAAAACCATGAACCCTGTTCCTCACTTAATCATCCAAAACTTTAAACGCAATTGGATGCTACATTTCATGAAGCTTATTTGATCACTGGCAACGCCTAAACCCAATGGTACTAATTTTAGTAAACCTAATAATTTAATGCAATGACCAAATTGAAACACGAGTCAAAGTTCAGCCACTAATGCATTTGTTGCACCGGACTGTCTCGGATTGGACTAGCTTTAGGGACTAAGTTGGACTGGCTTAGACTAGACTAAGTTGGACTACCTTAGTGAAGCGTTTGATGCAGTGTCGGACTAAGAAGCAGGATAATGAAAATAGTATTGTCACATATAAGAAGTATGAATCAAGAGGCAAATGTACATATCTGAAGTAATCACTTCCTGTTTCTAATTATTAAAGTAAAGCGAACAATCTAGATATCTGAACTAGTCAAACCCAAACCTGTAAGATGATAACAAAGAAATTTACAAATTGTTAAAAGAATAAAGAGAACAATCTATAGCAATTCCCCATACAAAATATAAATGTCGAAAAACTCATACTCACATCTATACTCATTGCCACCGATTCGAGTCGTTGAGAACCAAACTCAACATTCTCAATATGAAACAAGTATGACACCATTGAAGGGCAGTTGTTACTTGTTATTAAACCAAGAAGAACAAAACAATTCACATAATTTCAGAAAGCAACCGTGCCCGACGCTGTAATTGGCGTTCCCGCCC